TTGGTTGGAGGCCATTGCTATTAGGTTGAGGCCATTGCTGTTAGGTTGGAGGCCATTGCTGTTGGGTTGGAGGCCATTGCTATTTGGTTGGAGGCCATTGCTATTAGGTTGAGGCCATTGCTGTTAGGTTGGAGGCCATTGCTGTTAGGTTGGAGGCCATTGCTGTTAGCTTGAGACCATTGCTGTTAGGTTGCAGGCCATCGCTATTAGGTTGGAGGCCATCGCTATTAGGTTGGAGGCCATTGCTATTATGGAGGCCATTGCTGTTAGGTTGGAGGCAATTGCTGTTAGGTTGGAGGCCATTGCTGTTAGGTTGGATGCCATTGCTACTAGGTTGGAGGCCATTGCTATTTGGTTGGAGGCCATGGCTATTAGGTTGCGGGGCATTGCTATTAGGTTGGAGGCCATGGCTATGGCCTGCGAAAAATCTTAAAGCTCACACTGTTAGTATAGGTCATTTACCAACTTTTACAACAAAAAACCTTCTTTCAGCAAACTCTCAAGGACTCAAGTTGCAAGAGGGACTCAAGGGTGAACATGATATGGTTATGGTCCATCTCTGAGCACCGTTCCAATATTGGTCTTCAGCTAACCGTCTCGGGATCTCCCTCAATGTGCACCATTGCATATATTAGAAGTCCTAGTGCCACTAGTTGCCATGCATGGTGCTGCTACTATATCATGCAGGGTCACGGACACTCTGTGTGCGACCCTTCTAAGGACACAGCCGAAGCCATCAGGAGGGCTCATGAGTACTGGCCAACCAAGGTTCTTCTCGAGGAGGGTCTCTCACATCAAGCCAGATGTTCCCAGATACTCCAATTGCTGAACTGCAAAACTTGAGGCTTGGAACATCTGAGAACTGACAGGGCTTGGGCGCTGTGCAGGACCAAGCTAAAATTCACAGGGCTCAGGGCGGCCCACGTCACCCTCCCACTAACACTACTACTAGGAGCAAGGACGCTACTACAAGCTCCTGGCCTTACTACTAGGAACAAGAAGCTACTAGGGGCTCCTGGCATCGCTACTAGGAGCAAGGACGCTGCCAGGCTCCACTAGGCTCCCCAGCATGAACCGATGGAATTCTCCCACCGTGAGGCCTCCACTTTGAGGGCGCCGACATGTCATTGAGATGAACATAGGTGAGCTGTCTTCACATGCCGCTTTTCTTCATATGAGGATCTTCAAATGTTTAGTAGTAATGCCCTTTGTTCCTTGTAGCTTCTGGCTCCTAGTTCTAAGGCCAGGAGCCCCTAGTAGCGTCCGGTCGCTCCTAGTAGCGATGCCAGGAGCCCCTAGTAGCGTCCGGTCGCTCCTAGTAGCGATGCCAGGAGCCCCTAGTAGCGTCCGGTCGCTCCTAGTAGTCAGGCATGTTTTGGTAAAAACCATCCTTCCGATTCCACGCGAAGGGACGACGGATATCACACTCAGTCGCCTCGACTCGGTGCCTCGATCGGCAGCTCAGACTCCTGGCGACGCTTCGGTGCACTCGGTGAACCGGCGGTGCGTTCGGCCCTCGGCGGAGGCTGAGATGTCTTGGAGATGGCGGAGGCTGATGTGTCAATTAGTTCATCTTGCTGTGAGACTTGTGGCCTCTTTCAATCATGGAATGCAGCAACTTCCTGGGATGGCGAAGAAGTGGTCAAAGGAGTGAAGGGAAGTCCAGGATGATCATGGATGACCAATTCATTGCGTTTCGCATATATTTTATATTTTATAGTTCCATTATTCTTCCATTACGTATCGTTTCAATAAATTCAGCCAAGGCTTCCTCGTGCAAGCCTTCGCAAGCACTCATCGTTGAGCTGCAGAGTTCCAGGAACTCGGCCTTGCTACCTGGGTTTTTGGATCTAAAAGGGATCTCAAAGGGATGTGATGAGCCAAAATGAGCCCAAAAGGATAAACACAAATCCTCAGAATTTTGGGAAAAGTAAATCCCCTGTTAAGTGTCCCCAAATATCTAAGAGCCAAATGATTACTGCGAGCACTTCTTCAAAGAAGTTCCCCACGCGCTCAGGCTGGGGGAGCTTCCTTGAAGAAGCCTGAGCAATCCTGCGTCCACTTACTAGTAGCTTAAGTAGCTAGGAGCGGACAAGTTGCTTACTAGTAAGGCACTTGTTACTACCAGTAAGGCACTTGCTCCTACTAGCTTCTTTGTTACTTAAAAGCAGTAGGCGCCCTACTTAAAGGAAGAGAGCGCCAGCTCGTGAGACCGACCTTATGGCCGGGGAGGGAGGCACTATGCGAACCGTATGCCGTTTCCTTCTATCTTCTGACCGCTGTTTGACAGAACTCAGATTGGAAATTGAAGAACGCTAGTTAAAGGCTAGTTACAACATTAACTTCTATCAAGTTCTTGAACGTGTTCTCAACATATCCCAAGATGCGATTTCGACATGTCTGAGTGCTGTCAAGGCTAGATTCTAATCGCCTCAGGTGACTAGCCCAGCATACCAGCGTACAAAGCTTTCCTCACTAATGGATCTCATGGGAATTTCAAAGAATTTTTGGTCTAAGCTCCAGCTCCTGGAACAAAGCAAGGATGGAACAAAATACCTCAGGCAGAACTCAGGTTCACCTGGTTCACCTTCAGGTTGTAGTTGTTGTTAGGCCATGAGTAGATCCAAAGCAAGCCCCATGATGTCCACAGGTGAGCTATGAGCACCGGATATAGTCACTAATTAACCCCTTGGAGCACACACGTCCGTCAGGTTTGCTGGTGTTTCCTGTTGTCTTTGTCAAGCTACTGTCCTGAAACCACAGGATTGCTTCCAGCTGTTGATCAAAAAGTTCCTGGCGATGGCCGGGAATAAACAAGGAATCGAGTGAGCCAGCTGCTCACACTAACAAGCAGTCGCGAACAACATGCTGAAAGAAAAGCTGCAACTGACACACTGACAATTGATTCTATTGGATTGACGCGGGAACAAACAGCACAGTTGCACAGCTTGCAACGAAAGCCACGCTAAATTTCAACATTCCAATGTCCAGTACAAAGCTTCTTGGAAGATTGGACATCAACGCGGTTCTAGTTTGCTAGTTGAGACCAGCCCGTGAAGATGGAAAAACACACCGTACAGGTTTGAAGTTTGGCAAGAGTCATGTGCGTAGGCGTACCCCAACGTAACTTACCCAAAAGGTCTTGACCATATCTTGTTTGCAAGTTGACATGGAAGAGAGGCGCAGGGCGGCAATGCGTGCCTTGTAATCTTTATGTAGCTGAGTCCAGTGTAGTGGATAGGATCCTCAGAGCAAAGGACACTCAAACAGGTGCGATTCCAAACATTTACATAGACTTTCTGGCTGGCAGTGGCCGGCCGCCAGCTGTGCCGAATTCAACCGCCTGATGCAACCCATAAATCCAAATCCCGTAGATCGACATGCTTCAATGAGTCTCATCGACATGGCTTGTACAAGGACGCTATGAACGGGGCTCCTGGCCTTACTACTAGGAGCAAGAAGCTACTAGTAACAAGGGCATCGCTACTAGGAACAAAGAAGCTACTAGTAACAAGGATAATGATGCTGAACTAGGACGCTACTAGGCAAATGATGCCGAACTCCGGAAGTTGCTCGTGTTAGCTTCATTGAGTGATTTCTCCATCCACCAGCTTCACAATGCCAGGCACCATCCATGCAGAGGACAGCAAATTGGCTCGCATGCCTTAGCTTGATAGTCTCCGGCACAGAAGTTTGAGCAGCAAATCAGATCCTGCAAAGTTGAGCAAACTGCCAAGGCGCTCCTTGACAAAATCATCAACTTCTTCCTGAAAAACGCCTGGTCGCATTGAGCCGAGTAGGCGAAGTAGCACGCGTAGCATACACTTAGCATAGAGATCGCGTCACCCAAAGTTTGCACATTGGGTCCGCCGCTTGGGGGTTGGGCGCTCCCTTTCTTGAGCAAACTTCTTTCATCCTTCATTGCGACCCTTCCAAATCGACTACTGCCGGTGACAAGCCTTCTTGAAATCCACGCAGAAATCCTTCGCTTTCCAAAAACAAAGGATTGCAAGAAAGTCAAAGTCAAGTGGTGCTAGCTTCACAGGAGCCTAAAATGCTACGGCGGCTGACCTATGCCGCCAGCTATGTGTGTTCGCAAAAGGCTTTGTCATGTTTTTCGGATGCAGTGCATTCCAAGTCTGCCGAGGATCGTTGCCACGTGGTGCCCGCCACCGCAGCAAGGCCCGCTTCTTGGGGGACCAATTGTGGGTTTGAATGGGTCAAGTCCATGGCTGATCCAAGGATTCAAAATGGATCCAAATCGTGACCGCTCCAGCGAAGAATCACAGCAAACAATAGAGAAATCTCAAGAAACACAGCTTCTTGGTACCGTATCCTTGAGAGGTCATCGGATCCGGCTGTGGGTGCTCAAGTCATGCTGCACAGCCGAATCCTGTTGAATCATGCGCTCCCCAGATTCTCGCTTCATTGCTGCTTGTGCGCTTGCATTGCTTGTGCAGTCGCACTTGAGTTGAAATGCTACTCCTCCTTGCTTGAGATGTCTCTAGATCAGGGGTGAGCGGAGAAAAAGACAATTCTCCTCTCTGCAGGTTAATCCATTAAATAACAGTAATGTCAAGAATGTCCTGGATGCTATGCTCTGCATCACTGTTTTACACATGCGGTCCGCACAAATCAAGGGCAGCTGCATCCTTCTGCCGCATTTCTGGCAAGGATACGAGCACAAAACAGCCAGGATCTTTCCCAACAAGTTTTCAAGCAGAATGACTCTGGTGGCATTGGAGCCTGGAATGCAGCCATGTCATGCAGGAACAGGACGGAAAAGATCCATCAAGCAACATGTGGTTGCAAAAAAACTTTTTATAAGAACAAAAGAATAATAAGATTGCTCCGGAAGCTGGCAACAAACATTGCTACAGAATGATGCCAAGCCCAAGCTTTGGGGTTCCCCAATGACCATTCTCTGCCATAAGCACAAAGCTGCTCGTTCGTTCAAGAAAACGATGCCCTGGTCCGTAAAGAACCCGTGCAGCCTTTTGTAGTCTCTTGGTTTCCCAACAGCTTGTGCGATGAGCCATGGAAAAGTAGCAGTAAGCATGCGGCATCATGCGGCGCTGTGCCCACATGCTACTGCCTTCACAGAAATTATTGAAACATTGGAGCGTGTCTTGCTGAACTCATGACGGGCCCATCCCTGAGAGACACCTACTCATCGCCAGCATCCAAAAATGCCTTTGTCAAACCTACCATCAGCTACCTACACAAACACCGAACCCGCTAGCTTTCAAAGCGGTACTTGGCATGGCACACACTCCAATATGTGAAGAAAGCCCCTCAACTCGCGCGATGCAGTGGAGCTGTTCCTTCGCGCTTCTCAACTCTTGACTACCGTTCGGAAGGCCAGCTGCATAGTCCCGCAGAGTCTTGGCTGATTATTTTTTCACGAGTCTTGGCTGAGTAGATCTTTATCCACTGTCGTGAGCCTGATATTTTTGCCCCTAATCCGATCACCTCATATAATCAGCCAACTAATAGTCTCGCACGGCATTTGACTAGGCCTACCTCGGAATTGCTGCACATCTCAACCGTCCGAAGAAACATGGACACATCTCACAGCTTAGGAATTATTCAGAGTACGAGTGTGCAAGAACAAGACATGCCATGCACTGAAATTTGAATATTTAGTTATTGAATGCTGCAGAAGGAATGGGCTTGACTTAACTGCCGAAGCCCACTTCAAAGGGACTTGCTGGTCTGGCCCTTAGCTGGGATTCTGGGTTGTTTTGAGCTAGTGCTATTGATCTCTAAACATTAACATTATGTCCTTGGTCCAAGTGCCTCAGTCTTGTGTGGAGTGTAGCACTGGTCTAGTGCTATTGCAACCTCAGAACATCTCTAGATTGAGGATGGGTACATCTACAATCAGCTACAGCATGCTGATCATCTAGCCTGTCATATGGTGATCCTCGCAATTCGACACACACACACACACACATATATATATATATATGTATATATACACAGGTTGATTTCGAGCTTCAACTCTTGGTCCGAACTCCAGACGTGAGACGGTTCTGACCTCACAGGGAGAGTTTGGTGCTCTTGGCATCAGTCTTCACCTCCTCATTGGACGCCCCAACCTGCGATTCTGCCAAGGGAGATGTAGATAGGCAAAGGCAAAGGGAACTGACCACTTGCCACCTTGCCACAAGAAAAAAAACCTGCCACCTTTCAGTGTTTCAGTGAATATAAAGTGCGTATGAATTGCTTATGGTATCCTGGAAGTGTTGCGTGGGGTGAGCCATCAAAATCGACATGAGGCGTGCACGATTGCCATCTCCCACCCTCCTACAGAGGATGAATATGACTCCAATTATTGGAAGCCCCTTCCTGTTACCTCTCACATGACTAGAGGAATAGGGAAACTGGAATTAGTGGGTTAGGGTTGGGTGGCTGGGGATCCCAGCCTTGAAAACTCACCTTCTGTTGCTTACAGTGTTGAATAGGTTCTTTCAAGTCGCCTGCTCTTGTGCAGTGAGCAACGCCGCACCAAAAGAACCATGTAGACTGTAGACTAAATTGGTATGTGCAACAGCTACAACTGAAGGCAACGGACCAAGCCGCACCCTCTGCATGGACGGGTAGTAATCATTGATAAGTGTGCAGGAAAGCACCGACAAGTGCTGAAAATAATTGCCGCTTCAAGTAACTTCGTACCTTGACCGAAGCCAATAAAACTCCTTGGTCTGATACAGTAAATATGTGTATATATATATATATGTATGTATGTATGTGTATGTATGTATGTATGTATGTATGTATGTATGTATGTATATGCATGTATGTATGTATGTATGCATGTATGTTACATGCATGTATGTATGTATGATTATGTATGCATATGTGTAAAAATAAACAGACTTCTAGATTGAGGCACCCGTGCCCAAGCAGCCTGCATGAGTGTTGTTACCAGGTTGGTCAGATATCGGTGTCATATTGATATCCCATCGCTATTAGGTTGGAGGCCATCTCTACTAGGTTGGAGGCCCTCGCTATTGTTGGAGGCCATCTCTAGTAGGTTGGAGGCCATCGCTATTAGGTTGGGGGCCATCTCTACTAGGTTGGAGGTCCTCGCTATTATGTAAATCTCTAGTAGGTTGGAGGCCCTCGCTATTAGGTTGGAGGCTATCTCTACTAGGTTGGAGGCCCTCGCTATTGTTGGAGGCCATCTCTAGTAGGTTGGAGGCCATCTCTAGTAGGTTGGAGGCCCTCGCTATTAGGTTGGAGGCAATCTCTAGTAGGTTGGAGGCCATCGCTATTAGGTTGGAGGCCATTGCTCTTAGGTTGGGAGGCCATTGCTCTTAGGTTGGAGGCCATTGCTCGAGGGATGGCAAAACTATGTGCAGCATTGTGTCAGCCGACGCAAAACATTTCAAGGAATTGAATGGGCAAATGCCACATTCACACTGGAGAAAGCCTCATCGTTCGGGCAAAGCAAACTCGGCCTTCTCCGTACAACCCTCAATGGAACTTTTTTCACCGCTGACACTCAAGTGCATGATGCGAAAGCTCACAGTTTCATCGTTTTTGGGAATGCAAGGCTTTCGAGCACAACAGACCTTTCCCGTGGCTGACTGCCAACGTCCGAGCAGGGGGGCTGCCCAAATGTTTGACTTACCATGGCTGGATTGGCTTGCCCCAATCAGTTCGAGACCTCGGAAACATGCTGCAGAGACAGCCAGATCTGATGGAATCATTTGATATGCCCCCGTTCCAACCCCGGGACTTGTTTGTCGATGGCTCTTGCATCCGTCCGACATGTCCGTACACCAGAGTTGCAGGATGGAGCCTCATTGCGGCAGATCCCTCCGACACAGATACATGGTGGCCGATCGCACAAGGAGTTGTCCCAGGGTGGCGGCAGACCAGCAGCAGGGCAGAAATCCTCGCTGCCATCAGCGCCCTGCGATTCGCCATTCGACAAGGCAGTAGTGTGAGGATTTGGAGCGACAATGCACAGGTCGTTGACACTCTCACCCAGGCACTCCATGATCCGGAAAGCTGTCGTGTCCACCAGAAAGACCAAGACCTGTGGCATCTTCTCATTGCCCTCGCACGGACAGCCCAGGCTTCGTTGGTCCAAATCCTAAAAATAGCCAGCCACCAGAACCTGGCGCAAGCATCTTGGATTGAGCAGTGGGCATTCATATATAGGTAATGAGCATGCAGATCATGGAGCACATTGGAGCACCATGTACCTCGATGCAGCACGTGTCTTGCGAGACCAAGTGCATGCCACACAAATACAAGTCAGCGAAGCAGCAGTGGCAAAAGCTGTGCCAATAGTTGCTCCCGAGGAGCCCCAGGCAGCTTGTCCACTAGCACTTGTAGAAGTAACGATTGACCCTCTGCCGACTAGACCCCAGACTGCCACTCACAAACTGGTAGGAAGTGGGTGGGACATGCTTGCAAGCTGGTCACAGTCATTCCAGCATCCACAAGCACAGGTGATTTACATACCTTGGCTGCATTTGCTGATGGACTTTGTCCTTCATTCTGGAAGTGGTGGCATTCGTCCAGTTCGAAAATACACCACTTGGGAGTGGCTCACAAGGGCAGAGGCCCAACAGTTTGAATTGCAAGATCGCATTAAGTGGTTCCGCATTTTCCTTTTACCGATCCACAAACTCGAGCAAGTAAAACTTTTGACACAGTACGTACGACCATCATCCAGGACTACGGTTTTCTGGGCACACTGCATTAGCTGCCGGATGGACGAGGGACGATTCCGCAAGGTCGAGTCCTATATCCAGCAGTTCAAGGCGGCGCTCACTCAAGGGATTGATCTCACAGCGATCACGCTTTAGAGATTTTCCAGGGATATGGCATCCCCCGCGAAAGCTGCGGTGCCGGAGGCTTTCGGAAAAGCGGAAAAGTGGAGGCCATCTCTAGTAGGTTGGAGGCCATGTCTAGTAGGTTGGAGGCCATCTGGTTGGAGGCCATCACTATTAGGTTGGAGGCCATCGGCCATCTCTAGTAGGTGAAGCAAAAATAAGCAATGTGTTTTGAGTCGTGAGTCGTGGGTGCAAGTTCTGAAGGTTTCTGCCACAGTGTCTCAGGCCCTCAGCAACCTCCGCCCGCACTGCAAGAATGCGGCTTTGCATATGATTTGTCGCAAGAACTCCGGAAGAATGTGAGTTGTAAGGGGCAGCCTCTAAACACAGCAGCCAATGGCCTTTGCATATCCTCCGGACGAAGAGGTTTGGGCG